TTAAACGAGAAATTACCGACATATTGCACAGCCAACAGCAGCACGTGCTTAATACCTTAGAGGTGCACAACAAGGAAATTTGCGCGGTAAAAAACACCGTTAATAATATAGCGCTGAACTACGATAAAACGACATATTATAATCACCACAACAAACTGCTTTCAAACTCGAATCCCTTAGGACGAAGTAGCAAAATGCATCATTGTAGCTACGCTGACAAAGTTTCATCGAATTTATTAATATCTGGCACTAAAACATCACACTGTAATGAAGTTGAAAAAAGTATAGCGCCAAAGGTACTTGAAAAGTCAAGCGATTTAATTGTTGACGTAAATAATCAAAATTTCAACCCTGGAAACCTGTGGTCAGATGCCGAGAAAACACCAGTGGAGGATGGGTTTAGAGAGTACATTTCCAGAAATAAAAAAAGAGCCAGACTAAACAACTCATCTGAAGATAATAATGAAATGAAATCAAGTGGTACCACCGGTAACACGGGCAATGTTAACGCATCCATTCCAAAACCAATTAAAAAAATTATTGGCATCAAAGTAATCGACAACTGCAAACTTCAGGCCGAAAAGAACTTTATAAAAAAGACCGTTTTCTTGATGAGCAACGTAAAAGATGTCACAGAAATGATGTCATAGATTTTCTTAAAACAAGTGGTATAAACGTCATCTCTTGTTTTCCGGTGATAAAACGTTCTAATCAGGAAATAAGCGATCCAGTAAACAAGGATGAGGAAGAATCAACGATGTTTCGTGTATGTGTCGAAAGTTGCGATGGACCGAAGATGAAGGACCCGGAAATTATGTTAAAACACATCATTGTACGCGAATGGCGTTTCGGGAAAAACACCGACAAAAACTCCGATACAACGAACAAACATGGCTGACAAAAATTCGTTAAATACTGCTAACGATACTCGCAGCAATCTTGTAGAAAAAACCTGCAGACTATATGACGATATAAATCAAATAAATGCTTTGTATAACTCCATCAGCGACAACGGAATTAACGACAATTTGTTTTTCAAGCTAATGCATTTAAACATTAGAAGTTTAGTTCACAAAT